ATAAAAAGGGGTATAAGACAAGGATGTGTCTTCTCATCAGTCTTATTCAACCTATACAGTGAGGCAATTCTAAGAGAATTAGAAGCCCTACCAAGATTTCATTATTAGCAACCACAATCTTAACAGCATAAGATATGCAAAAATGATACAGTGTTGATAGCAGACACCAACAGGAAACTATAAGAACTTCTATAGAAAGTAGTGAAGGAAAGTGAAAAGAAAGATTAAATGTCAATTGCAAGAAAACAGAATGCATGATTGTCAGCAAAAGGAACAGATCAATATGCAAATTACAACTTGGATATACTAAAATCAAACCAGTACAACAATTTAAATATAATAAGATATTTGGAGGATAGAAAGTTCAACACTGAAATCTGATGGCACATTGAGATAGTGAAAGATGCTTAAGTAAAGTATTAAGCAACGAAAAAAATTCATTAGAAACAAAGAAAAGAGTACTGAACTGAACAAGAGACTTGAAGTAACAAAAATGTAATTCTACAGAAGGATGCTGAGAATACTATTGACTGAACATGTGAACAATGATGAAGTTTTAAAGAAAATGGAAACAAAAAGGACACTTATACTTAACATCAGAAAGAGTTGAAATTTCTAGGGCATATAATGAAGAGGGCTTGGACAATTTGATACTCACAGGATGGATTGAAGGCAAGAGGGACAAGGAAAAAAATCAACGCATAACCTACCTAGAGAGCTTGAGTAAATGGATAGCAGAGCAAGGTTTAGGAGAGATAGTATAAGACAAAATTTATTGAGAGCTATAAAGGTCAGAAAATTGTGGAGAGACATGATTGCCAACATCCAGCACATAGAAGTTGTTTCAGTATTTAATTTTAATATTGGACCAATTAGTGTTTGTATTATCATATGGAACATTCTGAAGCAATTATTATGATTAATTAGAGCATGATTCTATAACCTATTTTATGCTTGCCATTATCTATAAACTGTGCTGACATGATAAAATAATTTTTTAAATATTCCACTGTGAAAACAATTTTTTTATGGTGTGTGCAAAAATTTCCAGAAAACAAGGACACTGATAACTTTTTCACCCATCTTAATAAATATTTTGTAAATTTACCAAGAATAACCTGCCATTGCACAACTCTGAAATGAAAGGTTATCAAGTCTTAAGACAAGATATCAGAAATGTGATTTTTTTTTTTTTAATTATCTTCTTATCTGGCCTTTAATGGAAGCTGCAAGTGCCTTCAGGTTTTTTTAAAGATCTTTGTTCTTTGTATCCTGGGACAAAACTCATTGCCTTTGTTAGACAACATCTCATTTTCTCATTGCAAAAATGCAAATACATGTTGAGTTTTGCTTTTATTTTATTATTTATTTAAATTGTGAAGCAATTATCTTTTGTCGATTGAAAATGAAATGGACTGCAAAAATCCTGTTCTGCCAGGAGGTAGAATAACCAAGTATTTTGCTGGAAGCGAAATTCAGAACAGAATTGTTCAATTTTCAATCAAACACATTATTTTATACTGACATTTCCTGAATGAAAGAAAAGCGTTGCAGAAAAAACAAAACAAAAACTACACAAAAATATTCAGGATGTCTTTTATCATGATATGAGCTTTCATTAAGATTTTTCTTTCAAAAGAATGTTAAAGAGAAAAGGATTATTACTCTCCACTTTTCTGATTTCAAATAACATTGATGAAAGTGGTCAATGTAAAGGCAATCATTTAAGCTGGATATATATTGCAGATACCCTCAAGAAAATCACAGATTTGACACGTACTAGACTTAATAATTGGGAAAAGCAGATAATTGAAGCTTGAAATTTGTTTCCTCATGAATTTGTGATCATGAGAACAACCAACCAGATACCAAAGATAAATATCAGAATGATTATTTGTTATAAACACCAAGCCAAAGGTACCAGTTCAGAGTTATGTTCTGTTTTTTGGGGGGTTTTTTTCATACCAGAATACAGCAAGCAAGAAATTAAATAAAAATGAAGAGTTTGAATTAATTTTTGTATGCATCTTAAGAAATAAATTGTTTTCTCACTGGAATATTTAAAAAAAATATTTTTCACATGCCAGTCACAAATGATGAATAGTATATAATTATATAGCCTATAATTATTAACTTTTTTTACAGCTACAAAACTGACTTCTAAGCATTAGATTATATTTGTTCTGATGCAATATATATTTGGTCGTTAAATCATAGTTGATTCCTGGATTAACATTTAATGAAAACTTTGGCAATAATACAATCCAAATACATTTCAATTGACTGATTTATATATATAAATATATATATATATATAAGATGGGATAAAAATATAGTTTTAAGATATATTTAAGGGTTAAAGTGCTCAATATCAGGAATAGAAAATATGTAAATATTAAAGTGAACATTAAGGCCAATACCCAGCAGTAGGGTGTTGAGCTCAATGACTACACATACACACACATGTGTGTGTGTGTGTGTATATATATATATATATATATATATTACATGAAAGATGACCTCACTCTGTTACCTCCATGACCCAGTGATACTACATGTGTGATCTGCAGGGAAGTATGTGAATCAACATATGAATTGAAGAGGCATATGATGGTACACAAGGATGACCTATCACACCAACATCTGCTTAACTCTGTGAAGACTCTGGAACATATCTGTCATCTATGCTATAGGCCTTGCAAATCAGCTGCTGGTTTAAAAAGCCACTTTTGAAGTCATTTGAGAGGAAACAATGATCTAGATTGAATGTAGGTGTTGATGGACAAGACGACAGTCATCTGTGAAGATGGGGCAATATATATATATAATATACACACACACAACAACCAATCCAAAACTTGCAAACTTTCCTCAGAGGAAAAAATAGCTATCATTACCTTCCTAGACCAAAATAAATTATTAAATAAACGATCCGAGCTCATCTCAAAATGCAGACATGAAAACAAATTTTTACTACGTTACTTAAAAATCAAAAACTGAAAAAAAAATAATAAAAATAAAATAAATAAATAAACAAAATGACAATAAAATAAGTAAAATAAATTAACCCAAACAGATTACCAAATCACACTCATTAGAATAGACAAAATAGAATAAATGAATAAAAAATAAAAAAAAAATCAATGAACCCAAATAAAGTAAATAATAAACAAATTAAAAAACCATTATGACCAAAATATTAGTTAGACTATAAAAATCAGACAAAAAACATAGCTATAACTGTTATATAACAATAAAAAAAACATACTACGTTACTTAAAAATCAAAAACTGAAAAGAGTAAATAAAAATATACAGTATAATAAATAAATAATAAAAACAAGTAAAATAAATTAATCTAAATTAATCCAAATAAATAAACAAACTAACAAACCAATCCCAATAAATTAACTGTTAGAAAAAACATGTAAAGATAATCAATAAATAAATGAAGTAATAAACAAATTAAAAACTGATCCTGCCAAAATAATAGTTAGAATAAACTACAACAATCAACCTCAAAATTGAATAAATAGCTTTAATTATCTTACCAAAACAAAACTATTAAATAAGCGATATAAACAAATTTTTACTACGTTAATAAAACACCGATTAAAATAAAAAAATAAAAAATAAATATATAAGATAAGAAATAAAATGAAAAATAAAAATAAATAAAAACAAGCAAAAAAATTTAACACAAATAAATAAACAAATAAACGACTTCTGGCAAAATAATCGCCAAAATAGACTACCCACAATGCACCACTGACCTGTATATATAAATAACCATGAAAAAAAACAACACTCATAGCCTGACAATTGCATCTAGCATGAAACAGTGTCGCCTCTAAATGTTGACTTCAATGTTCACTTTTATATATATATATATATATATATATATATATACAGTGTAACCCGGATATAAGAGAGTTGTCGGGACCGGAGAAGAAGTCTCTTATGTCCGGGTTTCGTCTATTTTGTTTAGGTAACACAGGCTCTAATTTGGGACCAGAGAAAATCTCTCTTATATCCGGGTTACACTATATATATATATATATATATATATATATGTGGTGGGTGAAAAGTGTGGTAGGTCCTGTGTGAGCCATCACCACTATAATCAATCACATGTGCTGGTAAATCTAGCTGTTTGGTTCAAAGAACTGAACTGATGGAGTTCATCCATAGTCTATATATGATGGACTCTCCCATCATCATAAAGGTCCTATATGTTATAATATATGTCTACATTTAATATTACATTATTATGGAGTTAGGGTAGGTACAAGTACCAATAACTTCTGGGTAAACATTAATAAACATTAGCCCAATTAATAGTCTTTAGAATAATTTGAAATACAATCACAGCTGCCTATCAAATAACCAATAGGATGATACAATAAATTGAAAATGCCCAACCTTGCTACCCGTAATGTCCCATTGGCCAGCATATTTAAATAGGTGAACCACTACACAACACACATGGTCTGAAAATTGCATTAAAAAATGATACAGACTATCACCACTTGGTGTTGACCTCAGTGTACACTTTTATAATTACACACTCTCTATCCTTGATATTGATCACTTTTACCCATAAATATAGCATAATTTAAACCTATAATTTTTATCATATATATATATATATATATATATATATATATTAGAATGTGACAACTGAAATAGTTGGTTTGGTTAATGACAGTTTTTTCTGAATCTATAGGTCTGTTCAATTTCTTTTTCTCTAGCAAGCTATACACCTGAAAAAAGCTAAAGGAGAAAGACTACCAAAATGTTTTCATAACAATAATGAGTTCCTTTATTCAATCAAAATATCATTTTAAAAGCTTTACTCCCTCAGTGTGGTTTTCTCTGGTGGCAAAATTTTTCTGGCTTATATTTTTCTTTTATTTTGATGTTGTTGCACTGCATGTCATGGATTTCAATTTTTGTTTTTTTTGTTTTACCCTTGAAACATCACTTTCTCTTCCCCCATAGGCCAATGAGATGGTGCTGATGCTCCACCGTATTTTTGCCAGAAATGTGGCATTACACTCAAATTCAAAGAAATTCAACAGTCATTCCAAGAGTAGGCAGCAATTCTGTACTATACTTGAACAGCTACTTACTCACTCACTCACCAGCTTTCTACCATTTACGAATCTCTGCTCTGTTTTGACAAACACTTGCAAACTTGATAAATTGATTTTTTTTCTTTTCCTTTGAAATATGAAGTCAAGCTTCTTTCACTAATAATCTTAATTTTCATATAAGTAAAGCAAAGAGTTTTAATTTACCTCTTAAGTCTTTGACATTTTCTGAAATTCTAATCATCAAATTATTTTCTCTTGCCTTGTTAGGAGACAATCTTCAACTTTAATTTCAAAGAGTTTATGACACAAACATACCACTGAACTATTATCAAACACAAGCATTTTCATGTTTTTTTTTTAAATTTTATAAACTGTAATTAAAAATATCTTGGCTTTGTTATCAGAATTTTCCTTCTCGTACTTTAGTTATGATGAGTACTTTAATATATGATCAAGCATTCTTGTCTCTAGAGGCAATTATTTCTAAATTTAATTTTTACTAAGATCTGAATTTTATTACAGTGAAAATAGATGTTCAGATGACACAACAATTATCAGCATGGAAAATGGAATTAACAGGCTAAGTTAAAATTCTAGCAGGCGTTGTTGCATTTATATTGATGTAATGCCTTTGAGAAAAGCGTGAATCCATCTCATTTTCTGCTGTAGGGCAGACTGAGTTTTTAGACTTGGGGACAGCAGCCAATTTGAATTCAAACCCTTCCTGAAGAAGGCTGAGTTCCAAAGTTTTCAATACACCCATTGATGTTACTATAGCTGCAGTGTATGTGGTACCCCAGTAATACTACAATGAGTTATTAGATTTAAAAAATAGCAAAATCTTTCCACTGAAAGCTCACCCTCACAAAAATTACACACATGCAAACTAATAATAAATATACATTTTTCTTCACCAGTAGCACACTGAGTTTCATGCCCAGCACAATTGTCAGGTGCTGATTGAAAACTTAATCTACTGTGCTATCAGTGAGGAAAAATGTATGTTTATTATCAATATAAATCATACCTCTGTTATTATACATCATCCAATATTTTATTAACACCAGCTTTTACTATGCAAATGTCTCTCTCTCTCTCTCTCTCTCTATATATATATATATATATATATATATATATATATATATATATATATATATACACTGTATTTAGGCAGCAAATGTTCATTAAAGAATGTTTCTTTGTAAATAAAAAACATAAAATGTCTTACATAGAATATACCACAAACATATTCTCACAGATATTCACCTACCACCTATCAGACCATAGTACCATCAGGCAACATATTAATAAGCAACATAAGGATTGTAGTAACATTAGACAGCTACTCACAAACAATACCAAAATACTAGCAAGATCAAATAGTAAAAACAGACTTGTGATCCTTGAAACAACACTCATACAATAAAAACAATTACAACTTAAGAGCCTACATCCTCAAATGTGTGTGTGTATATATATATATATATATATATATATATATGTGTGTGTGTGTGTGAACTCACATCACACCTCACTTTGCCTATGTCATAATTTCACAGCATCCACTAGTTCTATGAAACTTACCAATTGTTTCTACCTACCCTAATGATGACTTAAGGAAGTCAAAAGCGTGGACCATATTTCTTGTTATTTTCTTCCAAAATAAATTTTGGCCAATTTCTGCTGGAATTTCCTCCTTGTCTGAGAAGGATTATTCATAATTTGAAAAAGATAGTAAATATCTATTGTTTTTAATGCATGTGATTTGCTCAGATTTCAGGTTGGATCAAATATGAATAATCTATCCCAAAATTCCAACATTATATAATATCAAACAAAATACCTGTGAACTAATCTTACCTTATCCAGAATAATGTCAAGGTTTCATTTTTCTCACCAATATCAAATTTTGTAGGTTATATTAAGATTTAGTTTTTAACCATTGTAGAAAAATTGCAGAAGAATATGTAAAATGATTTTGTTATTTTTGTGAGCATTAAAAATGTTAGTCATTTCTTGACATTTTACTGAGATCAGATAAATTTGATTTCAGAACTAAATAAAAATGAAGATTACAATTTTGATTATCATGAAGGCAAAATGGGAAACTTTACTAAATATTTATTGGCTTTACTAAATAACAGAAGCCACATCACTTTAAGACTACAACTAAAATTGATAGCAAATGTAACTAGAAGAGAAAATAATGACATAATTGAGATGTTGACATTCCACACTACTTCAAATAAAAGGTTATGAAGGAAACCTCCCATCAGTAGTGAAAAGAATGAAAACAGCTATTGAACTTAAAAAACCTGTTTTCTTAAAAAACTTTTTTAAGAAAAATATTTCATAAATTTTAACCAAAAGCAGTATTGGTTGCTCGGTCAATGAATACCAAATGTTTCCTTGTAGGGAAATGGCTAATATTACCATTACCCAAGAAGGAAAATAGTCTGAGATAAACCTTTTTTTTACAAGTGCTGTTAAATAATTTGTATAATGAAGTATTATAAGAATGAAGGCATGAAGAATTTTGCCAGTTTTCTTACACTCTAAAACATTGTTTCCAACTGGCATACCTCTTTTCAGATGGATAAATGTCGATTCATCTTTTTTCAAGATATCAAATTAATTTTTTATTATCTTTTTCAATATTGCCATATTATAGTATTCACTGTTACCTGTTCGGGAAAAGAAGGAAGATTTACAAACTTATTTCAATATTTTCTATGACTTCTTACATAAAAATTTAGATGAAACCTTTTCCTTATCACTATTAGAATTTAATATTGGTTCACATTATTTTGATATTACTTAGTATTAAGATCTGTATTCTAAATATCATGACATGTTGAATCACTATAATTCTAATTAATTTCCTATCAGATTTTTAAATAAAATTGTTGAATGTGAATCATTTAATATTTCTCTGGTAATGTGTGCTGTCATGAAACAAAATAGTGACACATTACAATCAATTTATCAAGTTTTAGTGTCTCTGTCTTGACAACTCACCATCTTTGTAATTTGAGACAGTGTATGATATTGTCTTGCACAAAGGTATCAATATTTCAAACTTTCAATTTCAGTTCTTTTTTTCTTCTATCTTTTCTCCTTAACTGAGCCAACATTCTTATTGAAAAAAAAAAAAGTTTTTAAGACAACTGTCTAACCTGGGTATTTAATTAGAGATCATAAAAATATAAGAATTTATTCAGTATTACTAAAGCTTTAAAAAAATTAATTTGAGCAAGTAAGTTTTTTTTTCTATGTAGAAACTAATCTTTTCACTTTTGCCCTTCCAAAAATGTTTTCTGTCTTGCCATGAATTATTGAAAACAATGAAAATTGTTTTTATATCCAAGTATTTTCTATAATGCAATCTTGCAATTTCTAATAAAAGTTTTCTAAAAGATATATGTTATATTTATATAAACAGTACTATATAATATTATTATTATATCACATTATTATATCAATGAACTTGTATTATTTTAACAAATTTATGAAAATGTTGAATGACCCTCATTGTAATTTTCTAGAGAAAATCAAAAGTGAAAAAAATTGCTTTTTCTTATTGACTTTCACCAATACAATAAAGATAAAGATTGCATTGGGATTATGTGAAAAACAAAAAAAAGCATTTTTTAATACAAAAAAATAATGCATTAAAACATAGATTTTAAATATATCTTACTAAAATAAAATGAACTTCTGTAACAAAAATAATTGTAAATTTCTGATCTCTACATATTTTATACAACAGTAATGAAAGTTTTAATGTTTAGAGGATGATGAAAATAAACATTGAAATATGCTTAAACAAAACTAAAACATATTGTTTTTTAGAGTTATTTCATGATTTACTCAAGAGTGTTACTGACCTTTTCCTCAATCACGCAGACAAAATGTTTTTGACATTTTTCTATGGAGTCATCATTTTCAATTGTATATATAGCTAAAGTTAACATGATTGATAAACATATTTAACCAAATTGATTAATTCCAATATAATTGAGGTTTGATATGTTATGTATGATTCACCTAAAATGCCAGGCAGTATTTGCCACTATAAATAGAGATCATGTTTTGTTTTTCACTGGTATTTCTTTAATCTTGTTTTTTTTTTTTCTATTGTAACTTTCAGGCAATTGTATACATTTATTATGCAGCTGCTAAATAAGTGATATAAACTGTAAATAAAGAATAAACTTTTACTGATATCCAGATTGCCTATTTAACATTTGGAAAATAACTAAAATGACCTGGAAAACAACAGAATAAGAAATACAAATCAAAAATTAATAATGACAATTTTTCATCAAAAATAAATCTGTACAGCTGAAGAAGTTATTATATTAAGAGATATTTACTAAACATAACCTGCCGGAATTTCTGGGATGAGGAGATATCATAATTTACACTCAGGCTAATAGCCTCATCTTTCTTGTTTTTATCACAACATTTTGGCTGTTATGCCCTCTGGCCCTAATCACATGCTTATCAATCTAGGTAACCTTCACTTTAACCTACAGTGGTAGATTGTTCAAGACAATATATCCCTAGACATGAACAGTAGAATGAGAACAATCTACCCCCGAAGATTAAATAAAGGTTTCAATTAAAAATTCCCTGAAGATTACCCAGATCAAGTTATTCTCAATATTTGTCTCATTTTCTTTTTGTTCTTAGCCATTTTCAACTGATTCATTCTATAAATTTCTTCAGATGTATGGAAGAGGGGAAGAATTGATTTTCCACAAAAAAACTGTAGAATAAGGAAAATTGTAGCCAATATACTGATCAGACCAACTCATTATGCCAAAAATCACATTTGTACATATAACACATGCAATTCCATATTTTGTACGTAAGGTTGCCTTCCATTTCTTTTCATGCAAAACATCACTGCAAGGTTTGGCATAATGGGTTGGTTCAAATTTTCCAATATCAATGAGTATGACCTGAAAAAAATAGATGTCCCCACTTCACTTTTTATCTGGATTCTACACCTGAAGATCTTAAAATAGATTGAATGAAATTGAGGTAACAAAACAATAAGATCAATAGTAATTTAACAATAGCTACATAAATTTGTGTCCAATGGAATAAAATTGTTTTAACTCAATT